GGAGGTCACTCCGGTGACCGGGTTGACCTACCGACGTCAACTTAAAACCTAGTCGGTGCCACGGGAGAGGGGAGCCCCATCGCACGCTGCACGGTCCGCCGTCAGAAGCGATGCCCCTCAAGGTTGAGGAGCCTAACTCGGCTGAAACGTGGTGGCTGTGGGACCAGCGCTCGATAGTAGAACAACAAACCACTGTACCTAGTGGGTGGTCTGGTACCCAGGTGGCACTTAATTGAGTCATCCCGGACCCAAGAAAGGTACGGGCCCTCGGGCCCGGTGCCGGTGTTCCACAGAAGACCCTAGCCCGGCGGCGCTTGCGTCGCCGCACTAGCTCCACCCTCGCCCGTAAGTAGCGCTTAGTGCTAAGGCACGGACGAGTGGCGGTAGGCGAGAGCCAAAAAACCCGGAGACTCCTGTCCCTATCTACTCGGGGTCGAGGAAGGCCCACCTTGTCGTGGTGACCCCGCCCGGCCGTCCTTCGGGACGGTCGCTAAGTGGCTTTCAAAAATCGGGTCCGTTAAACCAGTTGTGAGCTGTTACGCGGCGCCAAGTCGTGCGCTCGGGAGCGACGCGCCTATACCTCGGGTTGGGAGCAACCCGCGAAAGAAACCAGTCGTCCTGCAGTGTCGTTCGACTGGCAGGCGTCGCGGGTGTAACCCGCCTTCAGGGTCCGAGGGCCGTCGCGAACGAGTGGACAGGCGCGAACCCTTAACTGGGGCGATCGCCCGGTGGTCTTAACCGGCTGACGGGCGATCAAGCGAGGTCATGGACTTAGCCGTCTGGGGCCTCGCATGGACACGACTTCCGGAGGTTGGCAACTCCGGTCGTAGGAGCCACGCACTGACATGTACAGACCCTGGTCAGGCTGGATACACGGTACGCAACTCGCGGTCGAGCCCGCCGCGAGCCGAAGGGATCAGGGCTCTTGAAACCCGCAAACCTGGCAGAAGGATAAAAATGCAAAGGAGTAAACCTCAAATCACAATATGAAAGTTTCGAACAGCAATATTGTTATCGCCCCAGTGGATTCGGATACCACAGGGGCCGTTGATACCAGTCCTCATGCCTGGCTGGTATCTTCGTCACCATGCGAAGGCGTTTTTGACGACACGGATAGATCCGTTGATAGACGTACTACTGACATTAAAAATGACCTCTTTGACCATGCCTTCCTAGATTCGGCTGGCTATGACCTATCATACCTCGCGGGAGAAACCACACTCAGGCTCAGAGGAGGTGCCCCGTCTCCTGACCAGCAATTTGAGACCCCGTCGGCTAACGGACCAGGAAAAAAAAGAAAAGCTCAGGCGGACGAGAGTCCTTGTAAAATAATAAGAGAGAGGTTAGATGTTTGAGAAGCAAACATTGACACCAACATCCTGGAGTGTCGGGCCGTTATTGAGGAGATGACCAGAGTCACCAAGTGCGGTAAGACCTGGAGGAATCAGATTGCGTATTTTCTCAACGAGATAATGATAGCATCAAGAAAAGTGGCTATGGAGAGTGCCGACGCGATCGGGCAGATCTCCGCAAGGAAGGAGGACTTGCGTGAAGCCCTGTACGTAAACGGCGACCTATATACAGACATAGGTTCGCTTAAGGGGAAAATCAGGACCCTAGAAAAATCATTACTCGAGAAAGAGCGCAAATCCATCCAGGAACCGGATGGTGCGCTAACTCCTGATTTTATGGTCATAGATGACGACACGATCCAGGTGGCAGAGGGTACACCGAAGCCTAGTACCTCTTATGCAGAAAAGGTTAAGCTTAAAACCAGTCATAAAAACAGCAAGAAGCCGGTAATCCCCACGAAAAAAGCCATGGGTCACAGGGCACCTTTCCCTCCGTTGGCCCCGTCCGGCTCTGGGAGAACCCCCAGTGAGGCCCAACCAGGCAAAGCCCCTCCGATTACGAAACCAAGGATTAAGCCCACGAGCTAAATAAAAGATAAAAAGGCGAATGACAAAGCCAAGGCGACCGCTGCCGGCCCGAGGTTCGTGGTAGTCGGGGATCAGGATAACTGGGCTGAGGTCAGGAAGTCCATAGAGCAGAAGCTCAACTACCCAAAGGTTCGAATAGTAAAAAAGGATTCTGGCGTAATCCTTTTCCCAGAGGACCCTGATACTCTTGCGGCTTTACGCAGGACGAAAAGCCTAGCTGAAAAGAAACCCCCCTTCCCGAGACTCATAATCTCGGGGGTGGATCGGCTTCTGGAAGGCGATGTTCTTCCGAGGAATCTGGTTAACCAGAATAGGGACAACCTCGGCCTGTCAGATGATGACGCGGCAAAGTTATGGCCGTTGTTCAAAACAGGTCCGCGTGACAGAGTCACCGTCAACTGGGTTGTCGAAGTCCGACCAGAATTACTTAACAAGCTTGTCAATAGGGTGGCCTACCTGGGTTTCTCTAAGTGCCGGATAAGGTCATATAATAGCACCCCCCAATGTTACAATTGTCAAAGGTATGGTCACATTGCAGCCAGGTGCAGGTCTAAAGAGCCTACCTGCAAGAACTGCTCAGGCGATCATGATTCGCGTAAGTGTGAGTCTGCACAGATACGATGCGCTAATTGTAAAAAGGGGGGACACAAAGCCTCCTCAGTAAACTGCCCGGCAAAAATGGCTGCCGTCAGAATGATCCTCCGCCGTACCGACTTTGGTCCACCAATGGCTCCAGCCCCAGCTAATGACAATGGCAGTAATTAAAATTAAAATTATTCAGCACAATCTAAACAGGGACCGTATGGCAAGCCACCAGCTCCACGAGCTTTGCATCGAGAATAAAATCGACTTCGTCCTGGTCCAGGAACCCCTTATAACGTCAAGCAACTCGGTCTATGCATTCGAGTCCTGCAAACGGGCGCATATTAGCCGAGAGTCCGGTGCGGCTATATTAGT